GGGGAAGGAGAACCTCCCTCGTCCTGCTTGCCACACTCTTCCTGATGCACCCCAGGATCCCATTGGCCTTCTTGGCAACCAGGGCACACTGCTGCCTCATGGTCAACTTGTCGTCCACCAGGACACCCAGGTCCCTCTCCACAGAGCTGCTCTCCAGCAGGTCCGCCCCAGCCTGTACTGGTGCCTGGGGTTGTTCCTCCCCAGGTGCAGGACCCTGCACTTGCCCTTGTTGAACTTCATCAGGTTCCTCTGCGCCCAACTTTCCAGCCTGTCCAGGTCTCGTTGGATGGCAGCACAGCCTTCTGGTGTGTCTACCACACCTCCCAGTTTTGTGTCGTCAGCAAACTTGCTGAGGGTACATTCTAACTCTTCATCCAAGTCACTGATGAAGAAGTTGAACAAGACTGGGCCCAGTACTGACCCCTGGTGAACCGCACTAGTTACTGGCCTCCAAGTAGACTCTGCGCCGCTGACGACAACCCTCTGAGTTCTGCCATTCAGCCACAATCCTATAGTGATTCCCCTAAAGAGTACGCCTCCATCAAATATTCCCAATCCATGGAAAGCAGAAGGAGGCTCCGAGTATTTAAAACTAGTTCACAGACCAGAATTAAAAAGCAGCCTAATTTTCCCCTGCCTAGGCTGGCCTCTCACACCAGCACCCACTGTTCAGTTCATTTCTGGCACATGTGTGGGAGGTACCTAATGGACACCAATGGAGCACAATTACCAACCGAGAAGGATCCCTCAGATCAAGCCAAAAACTTCTCATTTTGCTTACCCCGCCATCACTTCCAAATGCAGCTGGCCAGAAACAGTCAGGAAGGCAGGCACGTTGAAGAAATGGGTCTTTTCCGCAGACTCCTTTGCCTCATTTGACGTCTGTAAGGTAAAAAATGAGCAAGAAGTTAAACTATCAGCGTCTGAATAAAAAGCATAGTTCCCGCCTTACTTTCCATTTTTCCTCTTAAGAAATTTCACAAGATTTAACCCAAACACTGCTGAGATGGAATCTAACAGTCTGATAAGCCACAATACAATGTTCCCCATCTTTGCTCAGATTGCTAACGGGCTCTAAAACCTGTTCATGCAAAGCACATTAAGAAAAAAAACCACAGGACCACACATTCTTGTGGACTTTTACTTCTAGGGGTCCGATGCAAATAACGGGTCTGTATAGCGAAAAGCCATACTTTACGTGGGAAACACCACAGCTCCTGCTTCCACTTGTGGTGACTTACGAGGATATGGGTTGTAGGTAACTCAACAACTTGGAGGATAAGTTTGTGAACGGTGGGACACAGTCCCAGTGTCCCCATCAAAGCTTGGACATGTCAGCACAGAGGAAGCATAAGCAGATCTTTCAGACATTTCTCAAACTAACAACGATTGTCAATCGGATCCCCAGCAATTAGTTATCTAGGTTCAGCTGAGTGGGAAGTAACTTGTTAAGATGACACAGCTCCACGGAGTTTGACTTGTTTGCCCAAAACTTTGCAGGCAGCACAGAGTTTGTGCAAGGCTAAAAGAATACATGGCTCTTCACTTCGCACCTCTTGCCTTTGTACGTGGGTAAGTCAGGAGCTCTAAACTTTACTCAAAGTAAAGAACTGTGTAACTTACACGTTTAAACGTCCATGAGCTGAATGACAATTGACATTGTAGAAAGGAAGGAGGTAATAAAATGTAAAATAAAATGTCGGTAGGAAATACTCACCATTTTGTAAGTAAGCCTGAGAATAAGAGTGGTAGAAAAGCAGGTTTTCTAGAGAAGGCTCTGATTTTTTGCTCCCCAGTAAAGTAACAAGTGTTAGCTGAGGGCTTCTCTACTTAGGAGCTTGGGAGCAGGTGGAGAAACCATATCCCATGTTTCTGGGAAATGCAGACATACGAAATTAAAATCCCTCTGGAAAATCTGTTGAGGAACTTTTTGCCCAGCAACATACAATCAAGCCAAAAGAAAGATGCCGGCCTATCAACCCAGACTCCAAG